CGTTCTCCCAATTCTCACTAAATGGGGAGCTTGACTTGAAATTCGCCTCTTCACAAATTATCTGGCCGTATAATCTTTGTTCTGGTAAACCGAACGTAATTTTGCCAGAATCTGGACTCTCGGATGTCACACCCTCAGTACAAGGTAAATCCACAGCAGCAGTTTCACAAATCGAAGGAAACTTTGAAACATAGATCGCCTACGGACAGCAATTTTTTGTGTGCAGCCGTTGATGTGTCTACAAAAACCAGATGGCAGAAAAGAACAACGTACCACGTTGCCTCAAGAATTTTGAAAACTCCTAGCAATGCCGTTTTAGAAGAGCAAGTGGTTGCTATTACATGTGAGTCGCCACTTTGTCACTTATGCTTACACCTCAGTGCGCTACTAGTAATCTTTTTGCCACGAGCAAGGGGGTAGCGGGACGTGGATCCCGAACCAAGGGTTGGGGGGGGGGTGCCTGGCCGAAGGCCGAAAAAAAAAGGTGACACCCATCAATTTGGTGGCAGAAGTGGTCAGTGACCTGCCTGTCGCGACGTTGGATCGCTCTAGTAGATGTCCTAGCTGTTGTAGATACTTACTTGGCCATAGTAGACAGCAAGAAGCAATTTTGAACCCCCCAACATCTGGCAAAGAAATCACGGTAATGAATTTAACAAAAACATAGACCATGGGTACTATTGCTAATTGAGGTTGAAATAAGAGTCAAATTACAGCCAACAGCTTCATTGTGCAGAGTGTAATACTGATGTGCATGTTGGTACCGGTGGGATGAGTAACTTGAACGTGCATCGAGACTCAAAAACATGCAGAGAGAACAAGTCCGCCAACACATGACCCCCACAAAAGAAAGAGAAGTCCTCAGCTTTTTTAACCAGAAAACCATACAACAAAATACCCCTTGGGTCTCATGGCAGGGGAAAAGGAAGAGAGAACTGTGGTTGGGTGGTGATGTGCAAAGCGCGAGGTTGCAAAACAGGCTGCGTGCGTGCCCTGTGAGATTTGTCAAATGTTTTCGCGTTTTATGTAGAAAAAAAATTCTGAAAACATAAGCATGGGAAAAACATACTCTATTAGGAAGGTAGGGGTAAGGGGCTGTCAAGGAGGACTCTGAAAAAAAAATAACGAGTGTTGGTCTCTTTTCCACATTCCGCCACCCCCTTGTCTACAGTTCATTTTGAGTTTTTCTGCCTTCCTTAGTGTAATATAACACACTAGAAATATATTATAGTTACTGTAATGTCTAAGCATGCATTCCAGAGATTCCCCCATCAAAAATGAGATGGATGGAGAACAGATGATGATTTGTTATTACAAGTGGTTTTCAACACAGACAAATAAGAGGCTACAGCCGAAAGTCCAGGCATCATGGGCTTTCACGTGCGCTTCTCAAAGTTATGCCAATGTCACAACATGGA